TGCTGTGTTTATTTGCATAACATGCTTAGTGAATGTGCCTAAAATACAATAAGCTACAGGCACTCCTTGTTTAATGACAGAGTTCCAGTCCTTCCACTGGGTTGTTGAATGAATTGGTTGCTAAATGAGGAACTGTAAGTGGTATGTACATTACAATATTCAGACCAAAGAAATGCTCAAAGGAAACTTCAACTTGATGACTTTGCTTTGATTTGCATAACTCTTACATGCAATACTGTAGTGTATAGCAGAACATAAAACTATAATACTGTACAGTACATTCAGCAAAAATTACAGTACTGTGTAAACAAGGTGTACTAGGGGCCGGGGATTTAGCTCAGTGGTTCTGCTGCCTGCCTAGCAAGCACAAGGTCCCGAGTTCGATCCCTGGTACCAAAAAACAATCAAACAAAAAAACCCCCAAACAAACAAAGTGTACTATACAAAAGAAAGACATTGAGGTGCCGCTCCCTGCCTCCCAAGCAGAAGGTCCCAAGTTCGATCCCTAGTACCCAAAAAAAAGAAAAAAAAAGAAATAAAAGAGATGAGTACTAACTCTGAGCGGTGGGGTGAGTCAAAATACTAGGTCTCTAACACCAGGCAGGTCATTAATCGAGGAATATCTGTACAGCAAGAAAGCCTTCTTTCTTGTTACTAGGGTTTACCTCTGCAGCGAGGTCTGGGCATTTTTCACTCTATAGGTATATTCTTTTATACTTTTTTCATTCTTTTTACCTCATACAGGGATTTATTTGCACGAATAGTTTGCAAAGCCAGAGCTCCGCCCTTGGCACTTCCCTCAAGGGCACTACTTTCACTTATAGATGGCTCCAGTGGCCCCTTTGAGTCCTGAAAAATCCCTGCTCCCCTCTTCACTTCATCTACTTTCACCCAGAGACAGTCCTGACTAAGACTTCAGCTTAGAGCTTCAGGCTCTTTACAATGGTCAGATCTTCAGCCGCCCCACCCCTTTTGGGCCCCATCCCCTGGATCATACATGGCACTGCCCGCTGCTCCCTCACTTAGCCCGCCATCTGGCATGGCTTTTCTTCTCCCCACAGATAGCTCTTGAAGTTGTGCTCAGCTTTCCACTCATCTCCTACATGCTCTGTGAATCCTACATGATGCCAGAAGCCAACTCACCTGCCCAGACCACTTTTTCTGCACATTCGTTCATTCACTCATTCAGCCCTATATAAGGCCACTTTTGTAAGCTAAGCACTGGGGTTAGGAGCTGATAAACAGAGACACCTCAGGCAGGGTCCATGTTCTGTGGCTGGGGGTGGGAGGACCTCTGTTCTAGCTGGGGAACAGATAAGCAGACACTGTCTTCTGATAAGTGACAGGAGAGGCAGCACAGCACAGGCCACAGACTTTATACCACGCTTCTAGGTTCTGAGTCCCAGCTCTGCTGTTTACCAGCTGTGTGACCTTAAGATAATGTTTTACCCCTTGTGCCTCAGTGCCCTTATCTGTAAAATAGAGATAATAAGAAAAGTAACTGGGGCTAGGAGTGTAGCTCAGCAGTAGAGTGCTTGCCCAGCAAATGTGATCCCCTTGTTCCATCACTAGCAGAGCAAAAAAAAAAAAAAAAAACAATCTCTTTGGGTTGTTCTGTGAATCACGAGTTAAGTTTCTATAAAGAGCTTAGAACACAGTTATTGTTATAATTTCAAGGGGCTGTGGGGCTCCAAGGAGAAAAAATTCATACAAGAAGATCTTGAAACACTGAATGTAAACAGAAGGAAGGCCTGACAATAGTGTAGAGACATGGAAGGTGAATGGGGTTTGAATACACAGCAGTTTCTCTTATAGTGATTCCAATACATGTGCCTCCCTCTGACACTGAGCCATCTGGATCATGTCCTCCTCAGGTGTCTTTAGGGGAGGCATGAAGATGAGGTTGATCAAGGGTCTCCCAAACTTTATCTTCACAACTCATGCCTCATTATTTTTTGGGGGGTGCTGAGGATTGAACACAGAGCCTCATGCCTGCTAAGCACACTACCCCTGAGCTACACCCCCAGCCCTCATGCCATATTGCTCAATATTTTTCTCTAAGCCCAACTCACTTTTTTGTGTGTGTATGGTACTGGGGATCAAACCCCAGTCCTTCCATTTGCAAGGCAGGCAGTGGAACCACTGAGCTAAATCCCCAGCCCTCAACTCACTTTTTATAACCTAAATAAATTTCTTAAACGGAAACTTTAAAATATATCTGTATAAATAAATAAAACATAAATAAATATAACAAAGCTGGGGATTTAGCTCAGTGGTTCCGCCGCCTGCCTTGCAAGTGCAAGGACATGAGTTCGATTCCCGGTACAAAAATAAATAAATAAATAAATGTAACAAAGACTGTGATTGAATTCCAACTAGCTAAGATTGCCTGATTCTGAAGTCTGCTCTCTCATACAAGGATGAGTATTAGCCAGTGTAGGAATTAATAACAAGCTGGCACGGGATTTGGACTTTTTCACCAGCATTGCTAACAGGGTTGAGAAGGAAAAGGAAAGAGATCTCTCCTAAACCACCAGAGAGGTGAAGAACCCCCTCAACACCATCTGAGGGAATGAAGTCAAGTGGTTCCAATGATGCCAATTGTTTTGAGAGGTGGATTTTTCAGAGAGGATTGAGGCTTCTCTGCAGGCTGCACCCTGGGGTGGCTATTGTCTTTCCCCTCTGCTGAGTCACTGCCTTGGAGGGAGGTCTCTGGGAAATGCCTTTTGTTGTCTCCCTGGTCCTGTTTACCTGGCGATTCTGGAAGTGCTGGACCGATGATCAATAAAGGATTAGATGGCAAATCAAACCAAACCTGCTTGCTTTTTTTTTTCTTTGGTACAGGGGATAGAACTTGGGACCTTGAGCTTTTGAGGCAGGTGGTGGAACCACTGAGCTAAATCCCCGGCCCAAATCTGCTTGCTTTTAAATAATGTTATTTCAGGAGAAAGGTCCCAACCCCCAAATAAACCAGGTTTTAAGCAAGAATTTGAATTAATTCTGACAACATAATCCAAAGTGCAGGATTTACCTTCAGGCTATGTGGTTTTTTTCTGTCAACTCCACTAGGGATAGAAAGAGAGCCAGGAGAGGAAGGGGTCTTTATTTTCAGGCCAGACAAGGCTTATTATTCACTAAGCTTCTCTGAGCTGAACTGAAAATGGAAATGGGACCTCAGCTTTCTTTATCCCTCTGTCTTTCCTCTCCTTTCTTCTTTCCTCTCTTTCTCTCCCCTCTGTTCTCTATTTCTGGAAGATCTATGTTTCAGGGCTGTGTCTCCTAGCTTTGTTCCTTTCAACTTCAGCTTCTCCATTTCTGCCTAACCCACAACTCATCTGTCCAAAATTCTGTTTGCTAATGTAAATTTGGTCCCATCCTAAAACAACCAAAGGTTTGATCATCAAGTTCCATATCCCATTCCCTCAACTGCCACCTCCGCCCCATACACAGAGGAAAAAGTCAATACAATCCGAGCGCTAAGCACCTGCTAAAGACACCTATTCAAGAGCCTTGGTGGGACCTGCCAGGCTTGCCAGGGAGTGGGTCCAGAGGACTTCCATGCTGCTTGCTGGCTAACCAGTGAGGGTTCTTATACCCATGTCATGTCAGGGCTGCCTCCCCAAAGATTCTAATGTAGCAGGTCTGGGAGCCTGAATCCCCGCCCCCCCCAGCACTGGAGATCCAACCCAGGGGTGCTCTACCAGGAGCTACATCCCCAGTCCCTTTCTTAAAATTTTTAAAATTTTGGGAGAGGGCCTCACTTAAGTTGCCCAGAAGGGACTCAAACTTGTGATCTCCCTTAAATGCTGCGATTACAGGTGCTACCTTGCCTGGTTTGGGATTCTGCATTTCCACTAAGCTCCTCAAAGTGACAGTGAGCCAGGGGTGTAGTTAAGTGGTGTCGTGCCTGCCTGGCAAGTGCAAGGTCCTGAGTTTTATCCCTGGTACCAAAAAAAAAAAAAAAGTGACATTGATGCTGCTGGTTGAAGACCACAATTTAAGCAGGCTTTGGGCCACGTGCATCACAATCACTGGCAGGTACTTGTGAAAATGCAGATTCCTGGGCATGGGCCAGCTGCTACTAATCTTCAAGTGTGTGTGGGACGGCACTCGGGAATCTGCCTTACCCAGTAGAATCCCAAGGAAGTTCTGGAGACCACCTTAGCACCTGTTTTCATTTTCTCATTGGTGAGACAAAATACTTGACACCCAAAGTTAAAGAAAAAGAGGTTTATTTTGGTTCACAGTTTGCAGAGGTTTCAGTTCATAGTTGGCTGGCTCCAAAGCAGGCTAGAATGGCAGAGGGGCATTGCAGAGGAGAAACAGTTCATGGCAGACAGAAGGCAGCAAAAGCAGCAGGCAGCAAAAGCAGCAGGCAGCAAGCAGTGAGCACCCAGCTCTCCTTCTGTCTCTTACATTCTATCCAGACTACCCACCCTTAGGGTGGATAGCACTCTCACCCAAGGTGGAGGACCCTTAATCCTAGCACCACACAATAAATCAATCCCAGCATCACATACTCTAGCTTCAGCCACCTCCGAAAGCTCCATCTCTGACCACGTGAGACTTTAGGGGGACATCTAGACACAAGCCGTGACAGCACCTGTAATGTGGATACAAGATATGGGGTCCTGCCTTAAGATCACCTCAAGTCAGGGACAACTTCCTGTGGTTTGGGCTCCTCTTACCCCCATTCAGTGTGTCAGCAAGACCCATTGGCTCTTCTTAAACTTGTATTCAGATTATCTTTATTGTTTTTCTTCTCCGTATCAGGGATCAAACTCAGGACCTTGCACTTGCCAGGCAGATGCAGCACCGCTGAGCTATATCCCCAGTCCTCAGATTATCTTTAAAAGACTCCAGTTAACAGTCAGACTTAGAGGTAGAATGAAACTAGACTGCTAAATGTTGACAACTGTTAAAACTATGAGTTCAGTTTATTATTCACCATTTTTACTTATATTTTAATGTTCCCATAATAAAACGTTTTGAGTCTCAGATCCAATAAATCCACTTCTGGGAATTTATTTTAGCGCATACTTTAAAGAAAAATCTTTACAACATTTTTCAAATTAACAGTAGTGAAAAATTGGGAACACGTGAAAGTCTCATAATAGGAAAATGACAAACTATGGAATACCTTTTAATGGGGTTTTATATAATTAAAAGCATTTATTCAGGCTATGTATTGGTAGGAAAATATGACCTACAATTAAGTAAAGAGCCAAGACATTAAATTGTATGTGATGCATGATTAAAACTATGCAAAGATTTCTCTCTTCAAAAAAGACTTAATTATAAAAATATTTTTTAAAATAATGCAATGGCCTCTGCCTTTTGGGAGAAGAGGGTGCTGAAATTTCAGCCAGGGGGAGATGAGCCCCCTGGCTCTCATCTGCATCCCTGCCATAACCCCACACTATCTCTTTGGCTTCACTCCTCCTCTCTCTAAATGCCAGCCAGGATCCTTCAGAAATACCAGATCATCACCTTCTTCTGTCCAGAATCCCATATAGAGCCTTGTATGGTATCCTTACAACTAAAAGCCAAGTCTAGGCCTCAGCCTAGCCCTGTAGGCTATACAACATTCACCTGGTCATTCCCATCTGCTGCTCTGTTCCCTGCCTCCTTGCTGCACCTCAGGCACACAGACTAGCCTCAGGGCTTTAGCTGATGCTACTTCCTCTGCTGGGAATGCTTGGTCTCCTGCTATCTGAACAGTGTACTCCTTCCCTCCAGAAGGCAACTCTTTTCCTTATCTAAGACAGGTCCTTCTCTGCACCCCCAGGCCTTTTCTCTTCAGAGCACTTATCAACACCTCCCACAGTACACTTGTTATGCCTTCCACTTTCCAGACTGCAAATTCTTTAAGAACAATGACTTTGTTTGATTTCCTGATATCTAGTACTTTAGAGCCTGGCATATAGTAGGTGATCAATAAATAACTGTTAAATGAAAGAATACTGAATTAAACAACTCCAAGGGCAGAGTAAGCTTCATGTGGTAGGCTGTTTCTTATATGAAAGTTTCCTCCCAAAACCTGGCAGTGGCAAACCCACAGCAGGTGCCCCATGGAAACCAAGGTGGCTGATCTTTTCCAGTGGAGGCCTCTTTAAGATGCACAGTGTAAAGTGCACCATGTGAACTGCGGGAAGCAGAGCACAGTGGCTAATGGAACTGGGTTTGAGAGAACGAATACTGGCTTAACACCACCAGTGCACAGCTTTGAGGTTATAAGAATTCTCTTAAGTGTTCATTTTCCCTTGTGCAGAAAGATGAGGATAGCAGTTACTACTTCCCAGGGCTGGGACGGGGAACAAGAGAATGCCCATATAGCTCTTGGCAAGCACAGTGCCTGGGACAGAACAGGTATGCAATAAGAAGCAAATTAATAAGGCTGGGGACTTAGCTCAGTGGTTTCAGCTGCGCAAGCAGGCGGACCTGAGTTTGATCCCCGGTACCGAAAAAAAAAAAAGAAGCAAATTAATCAATAGCCACATATGTGCCTTTGTGTCAAGTTTACATTGTGCTCTTATATACATAGGCTTTAGCTGATTTGAGCTTTCAACAACATGTGGGTTTTATCACCACCTTAAAGGTGAGGAAGCTAGGCCAAAGAGTAAAGTGCTTGCCAACAAAGCACACCTGGATCTGACAGCTTCACTGCTCTCTTCTAGGATACAGGCTAGCATTGCTGCAGATGCCAATCAAGAAGATTTGGATGGCCTGGCAGAGCCCTAGATGCAAGTGTGTGCCTACTGTAAGGCTGTGAATGGTAGAGGAATTCAGATATAAACTTGGCCAGTGAGCCACGCTTTCATGACATGGTTCCCCAGTCTGTGGCTCTTTCTCTGGGTGAGGCTTGAGTGCAAGTCTGGACAGATAAGCTGTCTCTGGCAGGATTTAAAACACTTCACTGTTTTCCTAAGAGGGAACACTACAAAGTGTTTTCTGTAGTTTCTCCTGCTTAGAGTCAGGCAACAGCTCTAGGCAGCAAATGCTAGCTTTGGTGTTGGAGATCCTCCTGCAGCCTCTGACCTCTGACTCATTGTGCCCCTGACAACAAAGGATTTCTTTCCAAAGCCAATCAAGGGAGAAGCCCCAGCATGAAGCTCTGGGCCACCTATCTAGGATCAAAGGTGAAGGAAGGTCACATGACAGGTAAGAGATCCACAGGTGTTAGATGTGAAACTTAGAACCACAAGGTCAAAAAATCATTGGCTCTCCGATGTCATGAGTTATAAGAACCGCAGTATCTAAGAGACCATAAACCTCATGGCTGTAACACCTTAAGGCCTCATGCAACAGCAGAGATCACACAGGATGGGAAGAAGGAAAGGCTGCTTCCAAATTGGGAATTCAGATGGCTCCTGGGTCCTGAGCATCTTCTCCACGTCAAGGGCTTGGCAGACACTCCTTTGGGAACAGATGGTGTGAGGGTTCCAGCTGCAGGATGGGGGCTGAGAGAACAGGCTCTGGACACCAACCAGGCCCTTGGAGAGGGCGGCCTCAGGGGATCCTGTCAGTCCCCAAAGCCCTGACCCTGGATGCATTCTGAGGCTCTGACAGTGCCAGGTTTGTGGCAGCCATCAGTGACCAAAGACTGAGAGAAATACCATGATCACCTGCCTTGGTGGTGTGTGCTCCTCGGAGGGAACATGCTGTGTGAGTGGCACTTGGCTGCTCTCAGAGACTACTCAGCACCATGACTGACAACTCCCATCTGCATGGTGCTACTGATGGAGAACGTTCACATCCCAAGCATGGCAATGGTTTCACAAGTGGAATGACAATGGCTCTGGCCAGGCAGTGGGGACAAGTCTGGGGGCCACATTGGGGGACATCTGGAAAAGTGGCCAATAGACTTACCCCAACCTTGGCTCATCCACATTCAGTTAAGATCACTTTAGGTATCTATGCTAATAGACTTTACTGATTTTTAAAAATGAGAGAGTGTTCTAGGGTAGTCATGACCTTGTATCAAAACTATAGAAATCTCTATATAAAAATCTCTCTGGAGAGAGTTCACCACCCTAGGCTGCTCAGAGCAAGGCAGATCAAAAGATAGATGTTGGACTGCCCTGCTGATTGGAGAAACAGTAAGAAGCACATGGGGTCGGGGGACATTTGGGCCTTTGGGAGGTTGGAAGCCCTGTGCCCTTCGATGGAAGGTCTCCTTCTTCCAGGAAGTCTCTGGAACTGTCCTCCATCGCTGACAGGCAAGAAGAGGAGCTTGCAGTTCTGGGAGCACTTTTGGCTGTCTGGGCCCCTGCTTAGACTGATGTGCCCTGGCAAGCATCAGAACTCGTCTCGCAGTTGAGGGGGCCTGTCCATGCCGAAGAAAGAGGACTGCTTCCCCTGAAGATCCCGCTCGCGCTTCACGAAGGCAGTGAAAGATGACACACAATTGCCAATAAAGTGGTCAGCTTGGCCAAGGATGTACAGGTCGATCTGGGCCACCTCTGGCTTGAGGCTCACCACCTTCACCTGCAGGAGGAAGGCAGAGCACATGAGCCCAGGTGGCTGCAGGTCTAGGTGAACCTGAAAGAGGCCTGTGGGCCATACTCTCAATCTTTTTCCCTTGGACTAAGGATGCAGATGGAAGGAGGAGTAGGCAGCAGGGACACCTGGGTGTCAGGAGTGTGAGAGACGTGCTGGACAGCTGCTACACTCTCCTCTAGCCTTGGCTCCCCACATACTATTTACACCTCTGTGCCTTTGCCTGCAGGGTTCCCCCTGCCCAAGCATCTTTTCCTTACCTATTAAAATCCTGACAAGGGTTCTGATGTGGCTCAGGGCTAGACAGCTTAGTTAGCAGGCACCAAGACTGGGTTCGTGCACACACACACACACGCGCATGCACGCACACACGCACGCGCGCGCACACACACACACACACACACACAGATCCTAAGCAGCCTCTCAAGGCTCAGCTCACATTCTGCCATTTTCATAAAGCCCTAGCCCGATGGGCTTTTGCACCAAGTCCGAGATTGGAGCACAAAGCTCACTCATCCAGTTCTGCTGCCTGGATGCTTCCCTCTCCTACACACCTACTCCAAGCCTGAAGTCCTCCTGCCTGTCCCATTCACTGCCCCAGAAGTAAATCCTTCCATTGAGGGACTGGCACCCCACGGGCCAAGCCACCATCATCTCCAGTCCAATCAGCTATTACAGCCTCCTTACTGTCTCTCGCTGCCTCTCCTGGTCTGCTTACCACAGAAGAGACCAAGGAAACTTTAAAAAAATTTTTGTTTTGTTTTGAGATTTTTTTTTTTTTTGGTACCGGGGATTGAACTCGGGTCCTTGCGCTTGCGAAGCAAGCGGCAAAACCACTGAGATAAATCCCCGACCCTTGAGATTTTTTTTTGAGACAAAGTTTTGCTACATAGCCCAGGCTAGCCTCGAACTCTTGATCCTCCTGCCTCTGCTTCCCAGAGTGTTGGGATTATAGGTGTGTGCCACCATGCTGGGCTAGGACATTAGGACATTTTATTTGTCAGTATTCCTGATGGGGCACTGGCCCAGCAAAATGGAGGAGTGAAGCTTAATTCAGAAGGAAAGGTGGGGTCAGGAGGGGCTGGGCAGGGGTGGGGACAAGCAAGACTGGCCTAGGAACAGGAAACAGAAAATGGCAAGAAGCTCAAGGTGCAACAAACACTTCAACTCTAAAGCTCACAAAAAAACTCCCTGGGACTCTCCAAATGCTTCAGTTTAGTACAGAGGTGAGGAGGGGTGTGGGCCGACAGAGCTGAAAGTGCTCTGCTGTTCCACTGAATTTCTGATACAAGAAAAACCATCAGCTTGCTATTTGGGTTGTAGCAAAGAAATAAAACCAGTTTAATCATGGTCAAAATCCCCCAAACAATTCCACCCACACCCTGAAACTTACCCAGTCTGTGTCATGCCCACTATAATTAGCTCTGGGACCTCTTGGGTAAACTCAATCCCTTCTTGAGACTTTGGTTTTCTCAGCTACAAAATGGAAGGTTGGAGTAAAAAGACCCCCAGGTCTCCCAGCTCTGATGTCTACCTATTTAAAGGGTGGGTAGGACTAGAATGCACTGAGCCAGCACTTCTACCAGCTGGAGCTTCCTGTACATGTGCATGCTCATGTGTGAGGCAGTAAGAGAAGGCGACAGCTCTCAATGTCAGTTTCTTATGGTTTGCCCAACACTTAAATGGTTTTTTTTTGGTACCGGGGATCAAACTCGAGTCCTTGCACTTGAGAGGCAAGCATCGGAACCACTGAGCTAAATCCCTGGCCCCCACTTATGGTTTTCATTCATTTAACAAAGTCTTACTGAATGCTCATATCAATTCAATTTTTTTTCTTTTTCTTTTTTGCTGCAGTACAGGGGGGTTGAGCTTTCACCCTGAGCTATATCCCCAGCACTTTAAAAAATTTTTAATCTTTATTTTGAAATAGGGTCTCACTAAGTTGCCCAGGCTGAGGTTGAACTTGTGTACTCCTTCCCCAGCTTCCCAGAGCGCTGGGATTACCAGCATGCACCTCATGCCTGGCACAGAGTCGATGCTCTTAACTCTCTGCTATACTGGATCTTTATTTAAGGCCCATTCCCTATGTTCTTACTCAACAAACTGAGCACTGTGTGTCTGGCACTGACCTAGGCACTGGTGATGGTAAGGAAGGGTCTCGGGCCTCCGGAAGTCAGAGCACCAGGCTAGACATCAAACGACATGAGAGTGGTTCAGCCTTGAATCCCACTTTCAAGGAACCCATACTTCTTGGATGAAATAAGACATATTTCTACACTAGTCTCCGTCAATCAAGAAAATGGCTCAGGAGAAGAGAGAGAGTGTTACATGAGCTACAGAAGCAGAGGGAACCCTGGAAGACATCTGTGGAAGCGGAGTTTGAGCTGGGCTAGAAGGAAGGATAGGATCTGGAGAGGAACGTATGTCCAGGAAAAAGACCAGTGGGATAGAACAGGAAGCATGTAGTAGGAGAGTGGGACCAGATGGCACTTTCTTTCTTTCCCTTCTTGCCCACTCGTACCTTCTCTTTGAAGAGCTGCTGGATCTCCGGCACATAGCTCTCAGAATCAGTGGCAATGTAGATCGACTGGGCGCTCAGCGCCCTCACCCAGAGCTTCACAGCCCGCCAGATTTCCTTCAGGTCAGGGAGGCACATGGTCATGGTAAGTGGGGCTGCCGTGACGCGGCTGTAGCCCACACACTGTGGAGAAGCCATGAAGTGCGAGCCCACGGTGCCATCCTTCAGCATAGCACAGGCATTCTTCTATGGGGAGGGCAGGCACTGCATTAGAAAGCAGCAACTGCCCAGAGACCCCAGGAGAAACAACTGCCATGTGGGGAAAGACCGGCTATACGGGAGGAGCCCAACTATTGATTTTTTTTGGGGGGGGGGGTGCTAGGGATTGAATCCAGGCCAGGGCCTCCTCCACGCTAAGCACATATTTTACTGCTGAGCTACACCCTCAACTCCCAACTATATATTTTTTGTTTGTTTTTTGGTACCAGGGACTGAACTCAAGACCTTGCACTTGTGAGGTAGATGGTGGCACCACTGAGCTAAATCCCTGGCCCCCAAATATATTTTTTTAAAAAGTATTAAAGGAAGAGGGAAATGCATCGAAATAGTAATAGTGGTTATTTCAGGGTTGGTAGGATATTGGTTTTGCGAAAACAATTTTTTTCTGGCTCTCTGTGTTATCTGGGACGTTCAGTGTAATTGTGAACAGTGGTGGTGATAAGGAGCAGCTTATCTGATTCCTGACTTCAGTGGGGAGACTTCTGATAGCTCCCCATGAGGTACATGTTTGCTGTGGGCTCCAGAGCAATAGCCTTTATCAAGTTAGGGTGGGTCCATTCTATTCTTGGCTGGTTATGAGTTTTTATCATGAATGGGTATTGACTTTTATCAAATGCTTTCTTGTCCTCTACTGAGATAATCATATGATTTTTTTTTTCCTCTTTGAGTGTTAATACCATGAACTTTATCACTTTCTTAGGATAGATTTTACTTGTTTAAGTTGTATGGCTATTTTCTTTGGTGGTGGTGGTGGTGGTGGTACTGGGGATTGAACCCAGCCCTTCACATTTAGCTACACCTTCACTTTTTTTCCCCTGAGGGGAGATAGACAGAGTCTTGCTGATTTACCCAGTCTGGGCTGGAATTTGCAATCTTCCTGTCTTAGCTTCCCAGACTGCAAAGATTACAGGTGGATATACCACCATGCTTGGCTTGAGTTATATGTTCTTTGGTACATTATTGGATTTTACTTCTAATATTTTACTTTGGATCTGTGGATCTATGTTTATAAGTGAGAAGGGCTATAATGTTCTGAGTTGATGTTATCTGAGTTTGATATTTGTGTTATGGTACCTTTGTAAAAAAAAAATAGCATCTTATTATCATTTACATTCTAGGAAAGTAGAGATGGGAGCTACTTCTTAAAGGCTGGACTGAAACCATTCATAAAATATTCTGAACCTGGCTCCTTTTCTTTGGAGCAGGGGACAGGGGGAGCCTGGTAGGTAAATGTGAGATTACCTCATCGACTGACTATGAATGAATTTTAATCCAATTTCCTTATGTTTCAGTATTTTAAAATTTTCAACAATGAGCATTTCCAACAAATATATAAATCTCCTCGTGTAAATTAAGGAGACTGAGTATGTGGGTTCTATTATTTTCACAAGGAGGGTAATCTGATGAGCCTTCTGCACAGTCAAGCATCCTCTAAATTCTGGGAAGATGACATGTTCATTTCTTGGGAACCCCACTCAATCTCCACAGTTTGTTTTTCTTTTTTTTTTTGTAGTGGAAATTGAACTCAGGACCTTATGCTTGCCAGGTAGGCGTGGTGCCGCTAAGCTACATCCCCAGGCCCATAGTTCATTTTTCTACTAGCCAAGCACTGAGCTGGGACAGGGGATTCCTAAGTTTGGGCTCTCTCTCTCTCTCTCTTTCTTTTTTGAGACAGGGTCTCACTATGCTGTTCAGGCTGGCCTTGAACTCACTATTAGCCCAGGCTGGGCTCAAACTCAGTGATTCTCCTGCCTCAGCCTCCCATGTGCTTGGATTACAGGCAGGTGTCACTATGCCCAGCTGAGGGTCTCTTTCTATTTTGCTGCTTGACTTGGGATCTGGCTTGATGCCTCAGTTTATACATCTGCAAAATGAAAATATAACTGGCAACTGTTAAAAATGAAAGCTGGTCAGCAAGCACTCTAGAGTCACACTTCTGACATAGGCTGCACTGGGCTCATAAGATATAATCCCACAGACTTGGCTGAGTGAGCATTCTCTGGCCTGGTGGGATTCAGGGCAATCCCTACAGGCAAGGGTCAGCCAGGGAGAGGAAGGGGAAGTTACCCAGTCAGAGCCAATGCGCAGATGAATGCCCACATAGGGCCGGATGAGGTGGTTGCGGATCTGGGATTCTCCCATCTTCACCATCTCGTCTGACCATACCATGTACTTCTGGAGTGACCTGTGTTCTTCCAGGATGGGGAACTGTGCTGGGGCCCCTGGTAGAGCAAGCACCGGATGTTCCTTTGGTGAAAATCTAGGCATGAGATGGAATCAAGGGAAGTCAGACAGAGGATGTACAGAGAACCTGGCTGCCACCCCCACAGGAAAAAGGGTGGGATTGCACCATGCCCCAGAGACCCTGCAGAGGAGCCCTGTAACATGCAAGATGCCCAAGAGGTTGTGAAATCCCAACGAGCTGATAAGAAACCTTGGCAGTGGCAGCAAGCACAGTATGCAATTCTGTCCTGCCGCACAGAATTTACAACCTTTTTTGCTTGTTTAACAATTAAAAATTTACAGTAGAGCATTCCAACCTTTTATATGTCATGCTGGCTTCCAATCTGTGGTGTGGTAATTCTCTCCAGGGTGGGGTGTCTGGACCAAGCCTTTGCCCTTTTACCCACATGGCAGGTGCAGCTGCTTACAGAGGCCAACGGCTGAGACTGTGCACATTGGATTAGATGATTCAACACTTATCAAGTACTTACTGATTGCCTACTATGTGCTGGGACCCAGGAACAATGAGACTGGCATGATCCCTACCCTTGTGGAATATATCAAAAGTCTGCAATGTCCCCATCATACCCTGTCAAGACTCTCTTTCCCCATTTGTACAGTATGCATTTCACAATTATTTCACATCTCTCTTTTTTGTAGGACTGAGGCCCCCGGAGGCAGTACCTCTATTGTGCCTAAAATAGTGCCTGGCACATGTAAGAGTTCAGTAAATATTTGTTGATTGAATGAATGAGTATAAACTTGTGCTCCCTTTCCAGCTAAACCCAGACTCCATTCCAGCAACATAAAACATCTTTTTTTTTTCTTGGTACCAGGGAACAAACTCAGGACCTTGCGCAAGCGGTGGCACCACTGAGCTAAATCCCTGGCCCAACATAAAATGTCTTGCTGTTCATGAACTCACACTGTATTTTCAAGCTCTACATCTCTGTATACTTCTTCCCTCCACCTGGAATACCTGCCCTGGCCAGTCAAATACTTTTTCTAAACATTATGCAGTAGGCATATCCACTCTAAAAAAGTTTTGCAGTTAGTTTATTATAAAACTAGGCATGCAATTACCATATGACCCAGCAATGATACTCTTGGGCATTTATGCCAGGGAAATGAAAGCTTATGTTCACATACAAACCTGTATGCTAATGTTCAGAGCAGCTTGATTCATAATAACCCCAAACTGAAGACAACCCAAATGTCACTCAATGAATAAATGGTTCAACACACTGTGGCACATCCATACCATGGAATACTACTGCAATAAAAGGAATAAACTATCAACACAGGCAGTGACTTGGATGGCTCTCCAGGTAATTATCCAAAGTAAAAGAGCCAATCCCAAAAGGTTATATACTGTATAATTCTACTTATATAATAATGAAATGACAAATGGAGAAGAAAACAGAAATGGAGAAGAGATTAGTGGGTACCAGGGGTTAGGGATGGTGTGTGATTAGGGAGGTGGGTGTGGCTATAAAATGGTAACACAAAGATTCTTACCATGATAGAGCCATTCAGTATTTTAATTGTGGTGGTGGATAGATAAACCTACACACTTGATAAAACTGCACAGAACTAAATACACACACGTGAGTACAAGTAAAATAGGAAGTCTATCTAGATAGATGGATTGTATCAATGTCAATATCCTGGTTGTGATACTGTACTAGAGTTTTGCAAAATGGCACCATTGGAAGAAATTGGGTAAAGGGCACATTAGAGCTCTCCATATTATTTCTTATAAGTGGATATGAATCAACAATGACTACAATAAACATTTCAAATAAAAATTATGAAATATTTCAAACTCTTAAGGTAAATACAGAAAATAACAATCCACATACCCAATGACCCAAGTCAGCAGAAGTTAATATTTTGCTTTGTTTCAGATTTTTTAAAAAAGTACACACCTGCTGGGGATTTAGCTCACTGGTTCCACCGCCTGCCTTGCAAGCGCAAGGTCCAGAGTTCGATCCCCAGTAAAAAAAAAAAAAAAAAAAAAGCCCTGAAGGAAAAAAAGTACACACTTAAATATCCTAATATCACTTTCCCAAAAGATGTTTTTTTAACATGATTACACTTATCTAGTTATCTACCTATCTGTTCATCTATCTATGGCTATCATCTATCTATGCCTTGGATTCGCCTATCTATGCCTCAGCTTTCTTAACTGTTTTGTGGAACTATAACACTTCCTACCTCATTAGGCTGATTTTTTTTTTTTTTTGGTGGTACTGGAAATTGAACCCAGGGCTTTTGCATTCAGCTACTTCCCCAGATTTCTTTTATTTTTTAAAATTTTGAGAAAAGGTCTCACTAAGTTGCCCAAGCTGGGCTTGAACTTGTGATCCTCCTGCCTTATCTTCCCACAGTGTTGAGATTACAGGTGTGTACCACCATGCCCAGCTCTCAGGCTGTTTTTTTTTTTAAGTATATATTTAATGTGTATAACATGTACATAAATGATTAGTACAAGTCAAGCCAATTAATACTTCCATTCATAGGAGCGTTGAGATGATTACAACAGTGTTAGGCACACAGAAAAATGTCAGAAAATCCTGGTATCATCATCATCACCACAGTCAAATTGCACACAACCAAGTTCAACTTTCTAAAAATTCAACTCTATGTTTTACAGATTTGGCCATGCCGGTCCAAGGCCTGTGCTAAGAATAGCAAGAGCAGGTATTCTCTACACAGCCCAGCTCTTTATGACACTTGAAATTTCTGTTTACATGAATATACACAGGAATTATTTATTGAGCCTCACTAGGTGACAGGTAATGTTTCAATTCTCATTTGATTTCCACAAGAGCCCTGTGAGATAAGTATTACTGCCATTCTCTTTACAGTGCAGGAAACAGAGGCACCAAGAGGCTAAAAATACGCAAAGGTCGCAAGCTAGGAATTGGTAGAGCTAGAATTTGAGTGTAGGCAGTTTGCATTAGAACCTATGTTCTTAACTCATTGACCATACACCCATCTCCCCATCCAGTCAGTGAGGACCTCAGGGGCTGAGTCTGTGGCTTAGTCTTCTGACTTCCAAGCCTTAGCTAGCATAGGTCTTAACACACAGTAGCTTCGGTAATTTTTTTTTTTTTTTGAGACAGTCTTGCTATGTAGTTCTGGCTGGTCCTGAACTCACTATATAGCCCAGGCTGGCCTCAAACTTGTAGTGATCCTCCTGCCTCACCCTCAAGAGTTCTGGGATTATAGGTGTGTGCCACTATGCCTGGCTGCCATTAATTTTTAAATGAATGAATGAGTCAAAGACATTACTAGAAAGACCAAATCACATCATCAGGTGTTAAAGGAAGGAATTAGTATGATTTGAGCACCTACCATGGGCCCAGCTTGCAGCTCAGCTCCCTTCAGATGACCTCCAAGCACTCTGAAAGGAAAGCAAGAGCTTTCTGATCTTCCAGGGTGCTGGATGATTAGGGTAAGATCAGGATTTGTGTTCTCCCTGATCTCATGGGAAGAACCTGCAGCTGATCCTTGGAGAATTAGATAGATTTGGAATGTCTGTCCTCTCTACCCAGGCCAGCACCAGCACGGAATTGGCCCAGTGGACAATGTCAGTTCTGGCCCAATGGAAGCAGGGGTCTTGGTTACAAAGAGAACTTGACTAGCTCCAACTGCCCCCTGACCATCCACCGTAGGTCAGTCCTTAAGAAGCTGCCTTTCCTGCTGCTACACCCTGTAAACCTCTGGAATTCTGCACTACTTCACCAGGCTGGTGAGATTCCTCCATGCACAGCATCCACTTACATGCCCAGTGCACATTCTGAGGCTGTGGATGAACACCATGCTGAGTGCAGAGGACTAGGACATGCTCTTGATATCCCTGCCACAAAGGACTTCCTTTCCCTCCAGCTCTCTGTAGGGGTGGCTCCATCTCATCCTTTAGCCCTCAGTCTGGTTTCAGCCCTGCCAATTACTTATCTCCTGTTTATGTGCAATCAACGAGGCTGCAGCCTGGGACAAAGATAAACCATGAACTCAAATACTTGCTATCTATCCACCTGAAGCATTCAACATGATAGGCCATAGTTTTCCAACAATAAATGTGCAATAAATGTCTACTGAATTAAAGGTCTACAATGTTATGTACAGATGCAGCACCAGCAAAGCAGGAAGGATTCTCGGAAATCACTTGTCAGGGAATAAAAACCTTTTATCTCCTTCTAGAACCCAATTGTCGTACAGATACACAGAAGTAAGGACATTTCTCTGTATCTTGCAGCTAGATCTGGCCCATGTGCCTTAGCACTAGCCAATGATATGTAAGTAGACTGGATTATCTTGTTTTTTGGCAAGAGTTCTTAAAAAAGTAGATGCAGTGCCACATGCCTGTAGGCCCAGCTGTATGGGAGGCTCAAGTTCACTTGAGCCTAGGAGTAGGCCAGACTGAACAACACAGCATTACCTTATTTCTTTAAAAAAAAAAAAAGCTGAGGATATGCCCTTTTTTGCTTCTTCTACTGAATTGCCTAGGATGTGATGGCTGGAGCTTCATCTGCCAGCCTGTCCCAATATGTGTCACTGAGGATAAGTCAGTATTAAGAGCAAAGAGTGGAAACAAACGAGCCAGATTCCTGCTGATATTGTGAAGATGCCATCCTGTCCTAGATGTATACTCCAGTACTTCTTTTACTGAAGAAAAAAATGAGTGTTATGTTGTTCATCTGCGGTTATTTTGGGTGTTCTGTTACATGTATCCTAACTTAACCCTGATGTACCCAGATCTCTAGCTTATAAATTTCTTTAACCTTACTTGGAGCCCTGATATCTATGAGAGTCAATAGTCAAGATAGTGAGGAGGAGGAACTGAGTCCTTCCAACTGGGTTCTCCTGCAAAGGCACTATAGGTACTTTTCAAGAACTAGCCAAGTAGTGCATGCCTGTAATCCCAGCTACTCAGGAGACTGAGACAGGTGAATCACTTGAGCTCATGTCTGGGGGCCCTAACTCCCTCACACTGCCTCTAGGGACCATCTCCCCCACTATTCCTCTTTTCTCAGAAATTTGTCTAAGGCACAAGCTTCCTCAAGCTCTCATGAGAGAGGTTCGTTCAAGTCAGTGAACTCAAGACAGACCACGGGGCAATGAACAAATGTGTGCACAACATTCCCCAGCTGAAGCATCCACGCATCACTGTTCCTTCTCTTCTGACTAGGACTGTGTGCTTCTCCTGGATGGGTGGATAGATGGATGGATTTGTTGATTGACTGATTTGACTGAGACAGGGTCTCACTATGTAGTCAGGACTGGCCTCAAACTGATGACCATTTTATCTCAACTTCCCCAATGCTGGGATTACAGGTGTGTACTATCACACCTGGCCTTTGTTCCTGGTATTTTGAAATTAATTTTGAAGGGGTTTTTTTGTGGTTTTTTGGAGACTGTCACTCAGGCTGGCCTTGAACTCACTATGTAGTCCAGGCTGGCTTCAAACTTGTGGCAATCCTCCTACCTCAGCCTCCTGAGTGCTAGGATTACAGGTGTGTGCCACTGAAGATGTTTTTAGAGTTGGAGGTATTTTTTGGTCCTGGCACACAGATGACAGGGGCAAATTCCCAGCCTTTTCAGGCAAGTCAGCCTTCTGGCAATGGCTCTGGGTCATTTGGAAGTGAATTGGGGAACACCAAGCAGGTGATCTAAAGGGAGAGTCCTATCCAGCATCAACATGATGGAGATTAGACATGCCAGGACTGAGTAGCCTAAGTGGTTTACGCAATAGCTGTAAAGACAAGTCCCAGAATGGATGGACAACTGTTAAGGGCACAGATATTTAATCTGTGGCAATTAAGAATGGGTGCTTCAGGGCCGGGGATTTAGCTCAGTGGTTCTGGCACCTGCCTCACAAGCGGAAGGTCCCAAGTTCAATCCCTGGTACAAAAAAAAAAAAAGAAAAAAAGAATGGGTGCTTTAAGATGGGCATGGTGTTGCACACCTGTATTCCCAGCACTCTGGGAGGCTGTTAGTGATTTAGTGAGACCCTCTCAAGATAAAAAATGGGCTAGGGATGTACACTGAGGTACCTCCAGTGTAAATGCCCTGGGTTCAATCCCAGCACCAGAAAAAAAATTAAGTTTATTTACTTTTGGTACCCGGGATTGAACTCAGGACCTTGCACCTGTGCAGTGGAACCACTGAGTTAAATTCCAGGCCCAATAAAGTTTATTTTTTAAAAATTTGTTTTTCTTTATGGAGACAGGGTCTTGCTATGTTTTTTGGTGTTTTAAGACAGAGTCTCACTCTGTCATTCAGGTTGGCCTTGAACTCACTCTGTAGCCCGGGCTGTCCTGGAACTTGCAGCCATCCTCCTGCCTTGGGTATGGGAGATTTTACCAGGGCCTTCACACTGAGCTACCCAGACCCTGTTTAAAATTTTTTATTATTTATATTATTATATTAATATTATTATCATTATTTTGAGGCAGGGGTCCTGCTGAGTTGCTAGGTTGCCCATCTCCCTGCCCCAGCCTCCCAGAGTGCAGGGATCATCAGCGTGTGACACAACGCTGGCCCTGGGAGTTGGGGAGAGCCTCTTAGATGTGGAATTTGGATTCCATCACTGCCCCATTCATTCGGAACATTGCAGACATTGGCACTGGGGAATATCTGAGTCTTCTCTTGTCCTGTAGAGTGTTGTGCATTCTGGTTCTGGCTTGTTTACCCACTGCCCGGTTTCCTGTGCCCCAGGGTTCTGGATTTTACAGCCCTCAACCCCTGACTGATTTCAGGGTCTCTGTCTCTGGTCTTCAAGGATGAATGAGACTGGAGCAGGGTACAAATACAGCTAGTCAAAGGAGGCAGCACACACATGATTGGGGGTGGTCTGGGGGATATGGGGGGGCAGTGGCACAGAAACTGCTCCGGTGTGTGGGAGAGGTCAGGGTCTTGCCATGGTAGTGCAGGCTGGCCTTAAACTCACTATGTAGCCCAGGCTGGCCTTGAACTGGCATTGATTCTCCTGCCTCAGCCTCCCAAGTGCTGGGATTATAGTTGTGCACCACCATGCCGGCTGAAGAATGGGTATTGTGTAGCTGAGCATAGTAGTGCACATTTACAATTCTAGCTACTCGAGAGGCTGAGGCAGGAGAATTACAAGTTCAAGGCCAGCATGGGCAACTTAGTGAGACCCTGTCTCAAAATAAAAAATAAAAAGGGCTAAGGGTGTAGCTCAATGGTATACCCTCAGTGGGTTCAATTCCTAGTACCAAAAAGAAAGAAAAAGAAAAAAAAGCATGGGTGCTTTGCAATCAGGCTGCATGGATTTAAAACCCAGCTCTGTTACTTTAAGCTTTGTGACCTTGAACAAATGATTGCCCTCCCCTCCCCTTCCCTCTCTTTTCCTTTTCTCTCCCCTTCCTCCCTTTCTCTCTCTTTCCTCATGCATGGTAGGCAAAAGCTTTACCCCTGAGTCACAAGCCCAGCTCTTTTAAAAATTTTTTAACATTCTGAGACAGGGTTGAACTGAATTGCTCAGTCTGGCCTTGAAGTTGTGATTCTCCTGCCTCAGCCTCCCAAGAAGCTGGGATTACAAGCGTGTGCCACTGAATCCAGATACTGCTTCTGTTTTTTTTTTGTTTTGTTTTATTTTGAGTTTTTTGAGACAAGGCCTTGCACTCACCATGTAGCCCAGGCTGGCCTCAAACTTGCAGTGACTCTCCTGCCTCAGACTCCTGAGTGCTGGGATTACAGATGTGCACCACCAAGCCCAGCCTTGCTTCCATTTTGTTTACATGTAAAGCACAGATGCTATCACCTATCCGACAGATTCATGGAAAGATTATGCCCCACTGGGTGGTGGCACATGCCTATAATTTCCACTACTTGGGAGGCTGAGGTAGGAGGATCTCGAGTCCAGAGCCAGCCTGGGCAACACAGTGAGTCCTCATTACAAAAACAAACACAAGTCAATACCTGTGAAAACTTAGAATAGTGCCTGGTACACAGCAGGCACTAAAATAAAAGCTCATTATTTATGAAAGACTTATATGTAGGTCCCAATTGCCCATGCAACAGTTCTCTGACCTTGGGCAAGTTATTCAACTTCACTAACCTCAGTTTCCTCATTTTTTTTTTTTGGTACCGAAAATCGAACTCGGGACCTTGCTCTTGTGAGGCAGGTGCCGGAACCACTGAGCTAAATCCCTGGCCCTTAGTTTCCTCATTTTTAAAATGGAAATTCAGAGCTGGGGTGTAGCTCAATGCTAACGCACTTGCCTACCATGCACAAGTACATAAGGCCTTGGGTTCAATTCCCAGTACCTCAAAAAAGAAAAAGAGGGCCAGGGATTTAGCTCAGTGGTTTCGCTGCCTGCTGCGCAAGCGCAAGGACCCGAGTTCGATCCCCGGTACCAAAAGAAAAAGAAAGGAAATCAATAGCAATAGGTACATGAATGACAGTGACAGCTAACTTTGGGTGGCCTCTTACTATAGACCATGAACATTATGCACTAGGAGACAGATATCATTAAGTGCTCTTTCCATCAAACCAAGGAGGGAGAAAACTGGGGCAAAACAGCTGGAGTGGCCTATTCAGTCTTCTGAGAAAGAGGCAGAGGTGGGTCAGAGGTCAGGCTTGTCTTTTTTTAGACGTCTCTCTATGGCCTCAAACTTGAGGTGATCCTCTTGCCTCAGCCTCCCATGCGCTGGAATTACACGTGGGTACCATTATGCCTCACTGAGCTCAGGACTGTCTTACTCCTAAGCCTGTGCCTGTTTTTCCTCTGAAAGCCAAATGCTGTGACCATACCTCAAATCACATGTTCCTCTCACCTCCCAACCCAGTCTGAGTCTGAGCCCAGGAAGTCCAAGGTCTTCCATGCCCCATTCTGCATCAATGGCAAGGGTACCATGTGAGTTATCATCAGGAAAACTCATTGGTAGCTCTTGAAGGCAGGCACTGGGTCTTCCTCAGTTTTATTTTCACTTTTTTTTTTTCCGATACTGGCGATCTCTTCCTCATTTTTATCACCTTTGGCCTGTGCATACTGTGTCCCACACATGACATATACTCTATAAATACTTCACAGCCTGTGCCTGTGCCCTGCTAACCTATTTCTTTAATAGGGCTTACTGGCACACAATTAGTAAGGCACATCCAGTAATTATCAGGATGACATCACTTCTCTGTCTGCACCTGAAGAAGCTGTGCTCTAGGAGCTGCTTCCAATTTTCATGTTGTGAAGAGGAAGGCAACAGGAGTGATTCTCATGCCTAGAGCAGGAAATCGAGACACAGGTGACTGCACAATGTTCTTTTATGACATCTCTTATCAGCCAATAAACTCTTGCTCAACTCTGTGGCAGGTCAATGTCCCACTGTGTCAGGCATTGAGAAGGGAACTGATCACACAAGATCCCAAGTTCAACAGACAGAGCACCCATACCTTTGGTCTCATACATCAGGGTGGGGAAAGGGTCAGGAAGGGGATGGATGCCCATGAGTCCCGTGTCCCTCCCTGAACCCAGCACAGCTATCCTTTCCAAGTACCTCTGGATCCACTGTTCTTTATAGGAGGCGGTGAAGGAAAGGCCTGCAAAAAGCTCCGACTTGTTGAAACTCACGTGAAACTGGTCCCAGAATGGGCCAAAGGGGTTTCCTTCCTGCAGAAAGAGGGTTGTAGAAAGCTTACTGAGGGAGAGGGAAAGCCATTTGGGGAGGGAGGCAAAGAACAGTTGGTGGAGGAGATCTGGGTGCTTGGACTCTGGTTGAAACACCCACACCCTCTTAGGTCGGCCCTTGGGCAGGGGGCTGAGGACAAGGCTTGGCTTCCATTCTAGCTTCCAGCAGGAGATGTTCGTCTGTGTCTGAGTAGTCTTTCCTGCTCACTTGCCATGTCCCACCTACCCTGCAGCACTGGTGGGGCCTAGGAGGAATGGACCTTGGGTCTGGAAACATGGACAAGAGATTCAAGAGACTTTCAAGACTGGCTAATCCAGCACCCTCATTTTCAAGATGGAAAGCAAAGCTCATCGAGGGTAAGACACATACACAAAGTCACACAGCAGTGTTGGGGCTGCAAGCTGGGTCTCTTTTCCCAAATATCATGACTCTTCTAACTACACTCTCCAAACTGTAGCCCAATTTGGGGACTGTCTTATTTCCAAAGTGCTAAAAATTCACAAATTTCTAATAAAATATGACAGCTTCTCATCTACCCACTGAGAGGCAGAAAAGTATTGGAGGTAAGAGGGTGGACAAGGGAACCAAATTACCTAGGGTTGAATCCCAGGTCTACTGTTTGCTGTGTGACCTTGGCGTCTATGATATACAATGGGGATACAATCAGTACTTTCCTCAAGAAGCAGTTTGAGGAGCAGTGAAGTGAGTTAGTATATGTAATACTCTTAGCATTCACCTGACATACAGTAACACTATGAAGTATTAGTTATCGATGTGGCATTTTACACTTATACTTGGTCTTCATGATGGCTTTTGAACAAGAAGGAGCAAGAAGTAGCATCTCCATATTGTGTAGAAATAAGGCTCAGAGAAGCAAAGTCTGCCCAAGGTGGTACTTCTGAAAAAATCAGAAGTAGACTCGAATCTCCATCTTTCTACTCCAGGCCTTTCTGGTGCCTTCTCCCACATATGGTCACCTTATATTCTCAGGGGCCTAGAGGACATGGAACAGACAGAAGAGGTTCTCAGACCCACAAGACCTACCTTCATGGGGCACGTCTTCTTATCAGGGCTTCGCTGAGCTGCTACCTCAAAGCAGTATGCCACCCGCTTCTCAGGAGGCCAATAGGTGGGTGCCAGCTTCTCCATGAAGTCCTCCAGGCTGATGACCCGATGGTAGGCCTGGAGGGGCTCCAGCTTGAAGTATTTCTTGTAGGACACATGCAGCTATAGGAAAAGGAGGAAAAAGAGGGGCAGAGGTCCCTCCTCAGTGTCCTAGTTTTAGATACATTTATTAAAACCATATACTCCAAGACCCACACAGCTCAAACTACATGACGGTGAAAAACTTTTCTTAAAAGACACCAAAGTAAGCCATGCTTGGTGGTACATGCCTATAATTCTAGCTATCCAGGAGGCTGAGGCAGGAGGGTCATGAGTTTGAGGCCAGTGAGTGCAACTTAGTGAGACCACTTCAAAATAAAAAAATAAAAAGGGCTGGGGATGTAGCTCAGTGGTAGAGTGCTTGCCTAGTACATGTTAGGCCCTGGGTTCGTTTCCTAGCACTACAAAAAAACCAAAACATACAAAAAAATAAACCTTTATACCAATGTTAGGACAGAAACAAACGGAGACAAGATATCTGTAAACCAAAGAACAAATAGTAGCATCTCTTGTGTTCAAAAATGACTGGCGGTCTCTAAGAAAAGACAAATAATGGGTAAAGGATAGGGGTGAACAACTCACAGCCAAGGAAACCCAAATAACCAGTGTACTCAAAAGATGTACAACCTCGCCAGGGACTTAACTCAGTGGCACCACCTCTGCCTCGCATGTGCAAGATCCTGAGTTCCATCCCCAGTAAAAAAAAAAAAAAATGTACAACCTCATCAATAATTAGAAAAAGCAAATTACAGTTATCACAAAGCATCACTTCTCACCTGTGAGACCAACAAAAATTTAAGACTAACTCTAATTGTTGGAAAGGATGTGGGAAAACAGACACTCTTGTATGTGGCTGGCAGTAGAAGTGTACACTTTGGAGCAACCACTTTGGGATGCAACTGTCAGTATCAATAGAATTAAAATAGCCAGGTGTGGTGCCTGTAATCCCAGCACTTGGGAGGCTGAGGGAGGAGGATCACTATGAGTTTGAGGCCAGCCTGGGCTATGTAGTGAGTTCAGGGCTAGCCTGAACTACACAGCAAGACCCTGTCTCAAAAAACCCACAAAAATGGAAGGAAGGAAGGAAGGGGGGGAGGGAGAAAGAAAGAAAGAAAGAGAGAGAGGGAGGGAGGGAGAAGGGGAAGGGGAGGGGAGGGAAGGGGAAGGGGAAGGGGAGGGAAGGAAGAAAGAAAGGAAGGGAAGAAAGAAAAAAAAAGAAAAGGCTCCTTCCCTTGCTAGATATTTACCCTAAAGAGGCTCCTGCATTTTGCAACAGGAGATAAGTACAGGGAGGCTCAGTGCCCCAAATGAAGTGTAGGAGAGAATGTAGAAGGAGTCACAACAAATACATTAAATCTATAGGAAGGATTGGTCTGGGAGTGGCAAGAGGGACTTAGGATTAGTCACAGGAGCCAAGAGAAGCTATCATTTATCAAGTGTAACTGTCATGCTGTTTTTCTTTTATTAACAAAAAGAAAGGATGAGGCAAAAATCACTAACAATGACCACTGCTAGTAGGTACATAGATGGTGGTTGTATTCTTTGCATTTCTTTAGATTTAAAAAATATTCTTGGAACACCATGGAATAAAATTTGGATTTAATTCTACAGGTCAGGGTTTCCCAAGTATGTCCCACCGGGTGTTCAGGTGGATAAAGGGTTCTGCAAAAAAGGGCTCCAGAGTTGGAGAAGTCTAGGAAATGTTGTTTTAAGGTGTTTTCTTTACTGCAGCAGGATTTTTTCAGGGCCTTTAACATGCTAATGTGCATTGCAAATCTGCAAATTTGAGAAGATACAGAATTGATAATATTATATTCTCAAATGATTTAACTACAGCACCCTTCCAACACAGGTTCTAACAAACAGACTTTGGGCTCCTTAACTATTAGCACTGGGGTATTACAGCTAAAGGATTTTAAGTAGAAATAATATAATTTGCCTTTCTCTCCCACCTTCCCTCCCTCCCTCTCTCCCTCCTTCCCTCTCTTTTCTTTCTTTCTTGGTACTGGGGATTGAACCCAGGGCGTTTGCACTGAGCTATATTCCAAGCCTTCCCCGCTTTTTCTGTTGCAGAACCTGAGATCGAACTCAGGACCTTGCATTTGTGAGGCAGGCATGGTGCCACTGAGCTAAATCCCGGGCCCCTAGGCTTGAACTATTGATTATCCTGCTTTAACCTCCCAGGCTGGGATTATACATGTGTACAACCACACCAGGCAAATTTTGTCTTTTTTGGAAGATCACTCTGGTAGCAGAGTAGATGGTACTGATGCTACAATTAGAGAAGGGAAAGGAATTAGGAGGCTACTTTTATTTATCCATGTATGCATTCAACATGTATTTGTTGGGCATTTCCCATACATCTAAGTGAGAGATGCAGTGGCTCAGAAAGGTAGAAGGAAGGTGAAACAGAAGGTTTGGGAGTTGAGAATGTATGGAAGGGATCTTTAGGGTAAATACCTAGGTTCTTGGCTTGGTACTCTTGTGAATGGAGGTGATATAAACTAAGGTTGGGATTATAGATAGCGGCACAAGTTTGAGAGGAAATATGCCAAATTCAATTCTGGCTTTGTGAAGTTGAGATACCTATGGGCTATCCAAGTAGACTCAAAGGTTTAGGAATCAGAAACACAGGCCAGTGGTCTGAGAGGAGTCTGGGTCACAGATAAATTTGAGACATGAAGAACAGTGAAAGCCACAAGAGCCAAAAGAAATTTATAGCAAAGCAAGTAATGGTAATAGCAGGTACTATTTATTTATTTAGGTACTGGGGATCGAACTCGGGTCCTTGCACTTTCGAGGCAGGCAGCAGAACCACTGAGGTAAATCCCCAGCCTGCAGCTACTATTTATTGAGGGCTGACTTAGTGCCAGGTGCTGTACTCATCACTTTACAAGCATTTGCTCACCTAGTTCTAGTTCTAGTTCTAACAGGCAGGAATATAACCATCTCCAGCTTACTTAGGAAGAAACCCAGGCACACAGAATCTAGATAACTCATCTGAGGCCACATAGCTAACAAGCAAACAGAAAGAGAACACAAACTAACATCTAAACAATGAGTGGAGAGAGGGTTGGGGATTTAGCTCAGTGGTGCTGCCGCCTGCCTCACAAGTGCAAGGTCCTGAGTTCGGTTCCTGGTACCAAAAAAAAAAGTTTGCACAACAATGAATGGAGAGAAAGGAGCCCTTAGTACAGCACAAAGAGGAAAACAAAGGCTGCAGAAGAAATGGATGTGTCCTGGAAGCCAAGGGAATAGAAATGTTCAGGAAGGAACAAGGCTCATGGGGCCAGGTGCAATTGGGAGGTCAGGTGAGATGAAGACTGTGAAATGAACCCTGTATTTGGCAATGAGAACAGTTACAGTAGGGCAGGGGAGCACAACTGGGGCAGGTTGAGTAACCCATGGAAAGCAAGGAAGTGCAGACTCAGTATGACAATTGGCTGAGACAGCAAGGAGACAGAAAACAAGTAGGGCAGAGGGAGATGGATGGGCAATGTCTAAACTATTAACAGTGAGTGAAAAAAACCCAGAGCATCGATGGATCCCAGGAACAGAAGACTTCCTGTGTCCTAGCTGTTTACATTGAGGAGTTCAGCTGGTTCTAAGTGGGAGGCATACAATAACATTTAAAGCATGAGTACCATCATTAATTCAATCTTCACCATGGGAAGAAGCAACAATTATTACCAAGCTATTTTAGAGATGAAGAAACTTGAGGCACAAAAAGGTCAAGTACCTTGGCCAAGCTACACAATTAGTAGGTGGCCAAACTAGGCTATGGTCTCCGATATTCTGGCTTTTAACTTCTGTTAATAACCTGTCTAGGGCTAGGTAGTTCAATGACAGAGCTCTTGCCTGGTATGCATGAGGCTCTGGATTTGATCCCTAGCACTGTAAAACAATAAATAAATGATAGCTTCTCCAAATACAGATATCCAAAGGAGAAAATAAAAGGGTATAGGAATGAAATACACTGTTTTATACATATTAAATATAATTTACGTATATTCAAAATTTTTCAAGTCAATTCATACTGGGGATACAGTATGAACAAAACCAAACACAGTGCTATTGGAAGACACAAAGAATAAGCTAGGAATTAGAGAATGCTGAGCGTACCATGCCAAGGGAGCCCTTTGATGGGGGAGAGGCAGTGCTGGAGCAATACTGCTTGGATTCATAGTCTTGGACATGTTATTAACAACCTGTGCTTTATTTTCTCCTTTAAAATTGATAATAGTAGGGCTGGGGATTTAGCTCAGTGGTTCCGGTGCCTGCCTCGAAAGCCCAAGGTCCTGAGCTTGAGCCCCGATACCCAAACCCCCCGCCCCCAAAATAATAATAGCATCCACCAACTATTGACTAATGAATGCACAGAAGGTGGGATCAATCAGCACTGGAAAAAGAGGCTTTAGGGTCAAGTCACAGGCTCTGTAGTCAGACAATCATGGGCTTGAATGCTAGCTCTACTACCCATAAGCTGTGTGACCTGGGCAAGTTACCTAACCTTTCTAAACCCCAGTTTCCTCACAGGGATGAGATGCAGAAGAAATGAGCTAATCCTTGTGCAGTGCTCAGAACAGTCAGCACATAGCAGGTGCTGGATAAATGCCAGCCATTGTTACTCCAAGGAAGACAGATCTGGGTAGGGAGCAGGGCAAGCTCAGAGGAGTGGGAGGTAAGGCCCAGAGAAAGATCTGGAGGTCAAGCAGAAGTCAGCAAGACTTCAGAACGGTGGACAAGGGCCAAGGTCAGTGGGAAATACTCACATTGGTGAAGGGAGGTTTATGATGCTGGTACTCAATCCATGGAGGTACAGCCAAGGTGCGATTCAGTAGCTTTGCAAATGCAAGGGAGCCCAAGAAATGATCGGCCTGGTTCCCAAAGCGCCCTGAAAATGGTACAATGGGGATGAGGTGAGGCCTGGGGCATCATGGGAATGGAACATAAAGGGCTCAGAAATGTGGATCCAGGTGTGGGGAGGGCCAGGACACCTGGAGAGCTAGGGAAGTTGGCAGCATGAAAGCAAGTCTGGGCTGGACCTGACATTCAAGGGCCGCTCCTTCTGCCTCAGTCATTCCAGGTTCTTCACTATCTCCTCAATACACTGTACATTTTCCACTCCATCTTCTAGCTTTGTTCTTGATGTTGCCTGAGCTATGAATGCCCTTCTACTTTTATCTCCAATTATCTGCACATGAAGGCGCCACTCGAATGCCTCATTCACTAAATGCCTTTCACCAACCCCCATCCATACTCACTCTCCCTCTTCTGCCTCCCACTTTGCATGAGTTACTAAAGCCCTTCACTTTTCCTGAAAAGTCTTTTCTCACTTCCTGACTTTTGATGTTGGCTATTTTCTCAGCCTATGAATGCCTTGGGTCCAAGGACCCTATTTGATTATTTTTATTTTCTCTAGTATGACATCCATTCATACATTCCCCCAATTTTTTCTTTTTTTTTTGGTACTGGGGATCGAATTCAGAACCTTGCGCTTGCAAGGGAGGCGCCAGAACCACTGAGCTAAATCCCTGGCCCCAATTCCCCAAATATTGAGAGATCACACTGTGTCAGAATCTATGCTAGGTGATAGGACATGAGTAAGCAAAGGCAAAATCTCGAAGGTCTTGGTACTTGCAGTCCAGTTGGAGAAGCACTAAATATGTATAACAAATACATACTGGTAAATTGTGATAGCAATCAGGAAAACAAAATTGGTGATGGGGAACAGTAAAGAGATTACTTGTGTAGAAGTCAGTGGAGTCCTCTCTGGTGACATTTATGCTGAGACCTAAAGAACTGTTAGGACGTGGTGGGGCACAGGTGAAGGGAGTGTGTTCCAGGAAGGAGTAGAACATGAACCTGAGTGTGTGAGGAACAGAAAGGAGGTGTGGCTGCAACTCCGGAGGGCCAAGAAGAAAGGAGTTGTAGAGATGACTAGCAGGGAACCAAATCATGCAGGGCCCTGAAGGGTCATGGCCAGGAGTTTTAGGGGTAAGTTTTACAACGAATCTGCGGCTCCATTTAAATGGCACCACAGTTGGGGATGCAGCTCAGTGGTGCCGTGCCTGCCTGGCAAACGCAAGGTCCTGAGTTCAATTCCCAGTACCACACACACACACAAAAAGGCACCCCTCAACTGACCTTTACATTGTCTTACCCAATCTCTTCCCACAGTTTTCATTATTTTCTTTAAAACTATGTACTTTATTTGGATGTGTATCTTTTATTGTCTGCCTTTCCCACCTAAAAGGATGGCTCTACAAGGGAGTGGGTTTATCTGTCTCACTCACAACTTCATTCCCAGCAAAGGGAACAAGGTGTGATACAAAAAGGGACCCCATAAATAGTCGTTGAATGAACGAACAAATCACTTGGAGCCAGAGTGGGTCAGTGACACCAAGTTCTGCCTATTTCCATTTACTGGGTTCCAGGCTAGCTTAGACCTCCAGCAAATCACATAACCTCTCCCAGCCTGTTTTCTCAACCATCAAATGGAAGGTTGGACACCATGGCCCCTCTGTGCACCTGCAACTATGGCAGAGAGGAGAAAAGCCGGTTCTGCCTCACTCTGGAGATCTCCTCTGGATTTGTCAAATTGTCTCTGGGGCGCGTCAGAGCAGGGTTTCTCCTCTCCTGGCCTCCGTTTCTCCAATCGAGCAGAGGGCTCGGGAGGCCTTACCCATGCACGGGCAGTAGAGCAGGTAACCAGCCGGGTCCCAGGAGCCCGCGGGCAGCCCCGGGAGCTGCAGAAGCAGTAGCAGAAGAGACACACGCAGCAGCAAGGGCGGCAGTGCCCACGCGGCGGCGCCCATGTCGGTTCCGGGGCCCTAGCTCGCCGCAGCAGAGGTGGGGAGGGAAGCCGCGAAGCAAGCGCCCGCCCCACTCCCGGCGGCCCCCGCGCGCCGCCCGCGCGTCGCCCCGGCCGCTCTAGCTCACAGGCGGGAGGGACCATAGAGAGCCCGCGGCACCGCCCCCCTCCACAGCCCGAGCTCCCGCTCGCGCGGCTCCCACAATGCACCGCACAATGGCCCGACCGCCGCCACTACCGGGGCCTGAGCGGGCCTGGCGGAGCCCGAGCGCGGCCCGGCCCGCAGCGCGGGGCCCCGAGCGCGGTGAGTGCCAGCGAGGGCCCCGAGGGACAGCGGGGAGCGGGGCGGGAGGAGTCTCCCCGCGCCCGCACGCCCAGCACCCGGAGCGGCGGCGCCCCTCAACTCGGGCCCCTCAGCGCGTTCGCCCACACCCCCGACTGGGGCCCCCCTCTGAGCCAGTTGGGCCCTGGATAGGCCCCAGGGTGATGAATAAGGCGCTGGACCTCATACCTGTGCCTGAGGGACCCGAGGGAGCCCCACTGGCCCCCTCCTTTCCGAGACGTGGGGACGCAGCCCAGCGGATACCCCACTGTCGACCCCCAAGCTCCCCAGAGGCTCAGGTGACTCACTGCTGACCTTACCAGGCACCCGGGTCTGGGGGACCCAGTTAAGCTGCACCTGCTGCCTCTCTCAGACACGCCTACCCCGACCAACATAATCCCCTCTTTCCTGCTCCAAACAGTTTACTCCTTACCTGTTTCCTTTTCCAGATTTACATAACCCCCTTAGGGGCGTCCCTCAAATACTTGGATCTGGAGAACCCAAATAAGCCCTACCTGTAATTCCCTCCCAAGTGACCATACTCCAAAACTTTAGCTGTTTCCCGTCGGGCTACCCATTTTGAGACTCCCTTGAAACTCAGAGAATTTACTTCTGTCTTTAACTCCCGGAGCTCTCCTTCCACTGTTAGACTTCCCCTCTTTCTTCCCCTCTTAGAGACCCAAATAATTTGCTCATAATTCTTTCCCATTCTCACCCTTTCTTACATCTGTGAGGGAAAGCCCTCTCTCCCCATTTCTTCCTGAATTTCTGTCTCCTCTCCCCGTAATTCACTCCCATCTCCAGTCTTGTGGGGAATTAACATTTTCCACCATTCAGTGGGGTGGTCTAGAAGCCGGCTTTCGAGTCAGACTGTTTCCTGTAAATCTAGCTCCTTGTCGTGGCCCAACTTGATGGGAGAAAAAGGGTCCTATAAGCTGGAGGGAGGATAAGGAAGCAATGATGTAAGGGGAATTGGTGCTTTCACCTACAAGTGTGGCCTGTCTCCTGGCTTGTGTGTTTTTCCATCTGTCAGCCTGGGGCTGTGCTAGACTTGGGTTTCTAACCCTCCCATCCCAAGATGAGGCTGCCAGATTGGTGGGGTGGGTATCTAATCAGGTTTCCTCTGTGAAAATGAGGCTATACTGCGTTGCAGCCATTTGCTCAAGGCCTTCCCAGGAGTGGAAGGCAGCAGGAATCCAAGGAAATAGGAATCAAAGGAACTCCAAAAGGGCCTATCTACATTGACAGAAGAACTAGCAGTCCGAGAGTAAATCCTAGCGTTGTTAATCCTGTTTGTTTCTTGGAATGATGCAAGTCATTGAGACTCTTCAGCCAGTCCCTGTAATTTAATTCTCCCACCATTCTGGAGTGTCCTCTGCATGTGTTGGGGGGCGGGTATTCTCATTCCCCTCTGTTCCTTTTAGTTTCCCAGCCAACCAGTGTGTCTTTTGAAATTGTTTCTGGTGCCCAGGTCAGGACACCCCCCTCCCGATTCTATTTATAATTTCCCAGTTGCTATTTTGGGTTCTGCTTAAGGGAAGATTCTGTCCACCCCAAGGAAAGTTCCTGGGTGTGTATCCTCCTCGGCAGGTGTTGAATTGAGTTCTTCAGATCCCCAAGTAGCTCTTGGGCAGGAGGGATAAAAGCTATTTTAGGGTAGTCACTGAAGTGGAGCTGTTAATCCTCTGTGGGTTTCTTTAGTTAAGAACACTTAGAGATTAACCCTTTCCATGCTTCTGGGTGTGGGGGTGCTATCTTTCAACAGTATTTTGGGGAGGAGTTGGAGTGTGACAGCAAAAGGTAGAAAACATGCAACTCAATACAAAGACAAAAATAATAGCTCTCTTTTGTTGGGTGCTTATAGCAGGCCAAGCCCAAGGCTGAGCCTTCTGCATACCTGACTAAAATAATCCGTACAACAAGTCTGTGAGGTAAGTATTTTTAGCTTTACAGATGAAGAAACAGACTAATAATGGAGAACAATTGCAGTTTCTATAGAGATGATGTAACATTATAAAACTATAGTTTCATCAGAGGGGAGCAAGCATCATGGCACACAACAGAAAACAGGCAGACATGAGCAGTATCTCTCTGTTTTAGTTTCCAAAGACCAGAGTTTTGGGGAAGCATTCCTATTTTGGAGACCTAACAATAGAAGAAAGTATAATAAAATGACTGTCCAGGCAAGAGAAAACTCTGGCCCAGGAGATGTACTGGAGGAAGGTAAAGTAAGAGGCTGGTTAGGGGATGTGCTGAGGGTTAGTTATAAGGGAAAAGGGGAAGGCTGCATTCTGGGGAAATGTTGGGAAAGGAAGAAAACTCGCTCAAGGTTTGAGAAGTTATTCTAAAGAAGAGAGGAAGAAGTATTACTTAGGTGCTGTGCACAACAAAGGCAGGGGAAACTTGGACTTCAGAGAGGGCACTGCATATATTCAGCATACATTTCATGTTACTTTCAAGAGTATTATTTCACTTAATCTTCTAGGAGAATCTCAGAGGATTCTATTTTAGAAATTGAGGAAAGAGAGACTCACAGAAATAAAGTAAACTGCTGGTGGTTTCACAGCCAGTAAGTGGCAGCTCTTCTGATAGCAAGTCCAAGGTTCTTTCCATGCTACCTCCCCCTTCAGATCAGATGCCAGAAAGAATCCTAGGCCGAAAATATACTTATACCAGTAACTGGGAGGGATTGTGTTTGTTTTATGGGAACAGGTTCTGTCAGCTTCTCTATAGTTGTTATGAGTAGAGTATGAGACCAGAAGAGCAGCTTTGCAAGGGAAGCAGAATTCTTTCACAGTTTTGCTAAGGAAGGAGAAATTTGAAGGAACAGGCATTGTTATGTGAGACAAAGTGAGGAATCTTTCTAGATCAGAGAAGTTTGCAAAGGATAGAGAGACAGAGACAGACAGGCAGGTGGGCAAGTGGGCAGGCAGCCAGACACCAGATCCTCAAAAGGACTCCTAGGTAACACTGCCACCTTTGGTGATCCAACAGCCTGCTGGTACTTCACAGTGCCTTTTTAAAAAGGCCTAGGAAAGCAGGATCAGGGTAGTAGCTCTTTTCTATTTAAAGTCATAACCCCATTAAATGTAGATCAAGTCAATCACACAGTTCCTGCCTTCCTTCTCTGGTTCCATCAGTACAACCCCATGAGCTCTTCTTAGCCACTACCAACCTTTTTCTTAGAAGCCCATTATTCACTCTTTCAATAGCAGTATGCTAAACTGCTGTGTCTTGTTTGTGCATGTTCAAGAGAATAGATGAGGTGGATGTGTGTGTGGGAGGTGAGGGACATACTGTTCTCTTTCTGAGTTTGTGTGGAGTTTCCAGGGCTAGGCTGTCTTGGCACATCAGCCAAACTGATGTGACTTGCTTTCCTCTTGCTGTCATTCCCAACTTTCCAGAGGGTGAAGTACATGATTTCAGATATGAAGGGAGAACAGAATATGACTTTGAAGGTATGGGAAATTCCCTCCAAACTAGACATGCATACTCGAGCTCATTCTGCCCACTTCCAAGGTGGATAGTAATCATCACTGGTATTATAAACAGGTAATTCCACCCTTGTGAAGGAGGAGGGTACTTAAACAATGAAAGCCAGACGTCAGAGACCTTTGAGGTTTATAGTGAAGCAGGCAAATATTCCATGATGACTTAAAGGCTCAAGTGGGTCTAGTTTTTAGTATTGGCTACCCCTCCCTATCATGTGATTTACACATAATGAGACTGCCTTTGTGCGATCTTTCTAGGCAAAGCTCCACTCGTGATGGGGAAATGTTTATCATATTACATTGCAGTGTTTCTTCAACAAGAAGAATGGTTCCTGAACAGGATATAGCTCATGTTAATGATGAGCAAAGCTCTCTGGGGCATGAACCCGCTGATACTATCATCTTGTTCATGGTCAGTCTGTTGGATGAATAATCACTGTAAGCAGCGTGTGCTAATGAGCTGAGCAAGCATTCTATGATCTACAGCTAGTCTGTGCAGTTGGAGCCCTCCCCAGGTTCTTATGGACAGTCCCGAGATGCCTCTTTTGCTCTCTCCACATGGAAAAGCCTCCTGACCAAATTTTGACATGATCTCTTCAAAGGTATTCCCCTGTTGTAGTAGGTTATATTGTAGTTGGGAATGTGTGGTGAGCTAGTAAGTATGAATGTCGTTCTGTTGTCCCCCTTATGAGAGTCAGTCTGATAATTCCCAGCCTTTCCTCTGAGTTGGTGTCAAGAAAGAAGTTGTGTCACAATCACTGCAGCCCTTCTCCTAATACCACTTCTACTAACATGAGATAGGGTCAGACTTGAAGATTTTGCTATCCTACTTTGGAAAGGCTGTGAAGCCAGTTTAAACCAGAATTTTCTACACATAAGTTAAGCCTCTGAGAATCAACTTGCATTCAGTGACTAATTTATTCATCTTAAAGTTGCAGATGTTAGGAATATGGAGATGAAAGAGAGGATAGGAGCCCACAGAGGATCAAAATTAGGTGGAGAAGACTAAATTCTAATGCAAGTATGTTACTTGTTCCTAATGGAGAAGTTCCCCTGTGCCCTGAGAATTTGTTGGAGAGGCCATTCAGAACCTCGTGTTGGACAGGCTTTGCTAAAGAAGCATAGGCTGAGTGAGGAGACCAAGAGCTCTGGAGAGGTAGTGGAGGTGAGGGTGGTTTAGGAAAAAACATGCTAAGTCTGCTATTACCTCCTTGGAATCTCCTGATGTTGATGTGCTGCTATGGAGCGCATCTGGCATAGGACTGGCTCCTAAGTAAAGGCTTCTTCTCTGTTGCCTTTTGGAGATTTTATTGCTCCTTAGCACCTCCAGGAAGAGGAGAATTATAAAAAGTAGGGGGCTGGGGGGCAGAGTAAAAGAGGAGGCAAAAGAACTTCTGTTTCCAGTTTAAGTGGAAAAGATGTAAAAGTGAAATGAGAAGAGAAAGTTTAGAGTTCTAGAGCTTTTAGTTCCTCAAACTATCTTGTTTTTTTTTTTAGCCTAGATGGCTCTAGTAATAATAGTGACCAGTAAGCACTTACTAGGTGCGCAGTCTTCTGCTGAATACTTTATATTCATGATCTCATTTGATCCTCAGAATATCCTTATGCTATTGGAGATTGTATTTCTATTCTTTAAGTGAAGAAACAGCTGTAGGAATTAAGTAATTGAAAGCCATACATCATCTGTGTGGGAGGGCAGATATTGGAATGGGATCTGTCTGCCTCCAGAGCCCGTGTTCTCATGTTATTGGGCTCCCTAACACTAGATGTTCTGATGTTTGTTTCAGGTGAAGAGATTGTTTTCTGAAGGCTGCATTGGAGGCTGTGACAGATCGGAGAGCCTGAGTGGAGCTGATGGGGAGGCTTTCTGAATAACATGGCCCTTCGCCATTAGCCTTGCCATGACCACATTTTTCACGAGCGTCCCTCCCTGGATTCAAGATGCAAAGCAGGAGGAGGAAGTGGGCTGGAAACTAGTTCCCAGGCCTCGGGGCCGGGAGGCAGAGAGTCAAGTGAAGTGCCAATGTGAAATCTCGGGGACACCATTCTCAAATGGGGAGAAGCTAAGGCCTCATAGCCTCCCCCATCCAGAGCAGAAACCATATAGCTGCCCTCAGCTGCACTGTGGGAAGGCTTTTGCTTCCAAGTATAAGCTGTATAGGTAGGTGACACTCCCATGCCTCTTCCTGCTGCAAGGTTCCCACAGGTCAGAGCCAGAGAGTTGCCACTGAATTGGGCTTTATCTAGGGTAGGAGAGTGGAGGTTAATTGTCCTACAAGTATACCCTGAACTCTGACCATTTGAAGTCACTAAAAAATAATGGTGGGGCCAGGGATTTAGCTCAGTGGTTTCGCCGCCTGCTGCGCAAGCGCAAGGACCCGAGTTTGATCCCTGGTACCAAAAAAAAAAAATAATAATGTGGTATTTTTGATTCAGACACTAGAATCTGATGGGTACCGGCAGCCATCAGGAATGAGACTGAACATTTTTTTCAATACTACTTTCTCTATCTAGTTCTGTCAGATAAATAATCAGAATGGTAGCCAGAAGTTAGAAATCAGTTTTAGAACTTCAGAAAGAAAAGGAAACCTGGTCCAGGCTATAAATTTCAAAGTGAGTGCCAGTGGTGGTAGTGGACACCTATAATCTCAACACTTGAGAGGCTAAGGCAGAAGGATTGCCATGAATTCGAGGCCAGCCTGAGCTACATAGTGAGACCCTGTCTTAAAAAATATATATATAAATAAAAACAAAAAACACCAAAAATGAAGTGAGTGAGGCTCAGAGCAGGGACAAAATGGACCCAAGATCAAGTAGCTTCTTGGGCTTGCATCGCTGCTTTTATTGAATCAGTCTGCTGCTCAGCTGATTACTTTTACCTCTGTATAGTCCCTGGTGCCTTCTGGGTCAGCTGCTTTTCTGAAACTTTTTAAGTCCAAGAAGCCCTACTAAAGTGAAATAGAATGTGAAAGCCTTGCTTAGGGCTTTGGTGAGGAAAGGTCCTGGTGAAAGCTATTTTCATTTATCCTTACTTTTCTCTCAGAACTATGGCCTTGCCCTTTACAGATGAGATAGACCAGCTTGATACATAGTGATCTAACCATTCATCTAGTGAATTATTGTTTATTGGATTATTTTTGTTTTCATTTTTTTCGTACTGGGGATCAAACTCAGGTCCTTGCGCTTGTGAGGCAGGCGGCAGAACCACTGAGCTAAATCCCCAGCCCGAATTATTGTTTATTGACCTCCTCTTACAAATTAGTCACAGTGCTCATTGCTCGGGACAGAATAATGAGCCAGATGGGTGGGTGTGCTGGCCCTTCTTGACCTTACCTTCCTACTAGTGGAGGTAGACAACAGATGAATACAAAAAAGCTTCAGTCCTCATCTGGAGAGCAGGTATCAAGAAGGAACTAAAATGGTCCACAAAGTAGTATGGAAGCCAGGGTTGCCCTCAGGGTGCTTCTATACCTTAAGGGGAATTTAGTCTGGTTCGTTCTCTTACACTTTCTTAGTGACAGTAGGTGCCTGGGAGACTACTGGAATGGTCCCAGTCTAGGACCTGGGATCCCTGACATAATTCACTTGGGAATTTAGGTGAGTTCCTAAACCTGTCCGGGCCTTAGTTTCCTAACCTGCAACAGAAGGAAATAGACTGGATCATTTAGTGCCTCCCTCTCATACATTCTCTTATCAGCTGTGTCATAGGAGGCTCATAACAGCCCACATTGGCATGAGCATTCCCATGTAAATTGAGGATGATCTTCCAGGTAGGGTCATTGGGTACTGTACTAGCTGTATTAGATTAGTACTGTATCAGACAACTGTGGCATGGTTCAGTAAACCCAGGTCTCAAGAAAGTCTGTGTTTAAATCCAGCCTCTGCCACTTAGGACTAGTGGGTGGAGCCACCCTGTGTGTTAACCTCTTCATCTGGAGAGCAAGTTTAATCACACAGCTCACCCAGGGCCTGGCAAATGGTGGGCCTTTGAGGCCTTCTTGAGTTGATTTTAAATAGATATGGAATTGTGGATTGCAATTTCCAGATTTTGAGCTGTTTTCCAACTAGATGGAAGCAGGTAAAGTAAGGGATACTGAGGTGCCATTCCACAAAAACATTTCTTATGGTCTTACTGGTTTACATGGGAAACAATTTAGGTGGTACAAATGGACATGCAGTGAAAAAATCAATTCAAATAGTCACTCAAACACACTGTTCCTCTTCCCAGAGGCAGCCAGTGGGATTAATTTCTTGTGTATCCTTCTTGATGTATTTAAATATGTATTCTTTTCCTTTTTTGTTTTCAAAAGGGATCATAGTACATGTACTATTTGAACTTCCTTTTTTGACTATCTCATCTATCCATTCATCTGTCTTTCTTGGGAACTTGTTCCTGATCAGGATATTTACATATATTTCATTTTCCTTTTATTGTGTCCTTTAAGTTTTTAATATAATTTTTTGAAGATGAAATACATTCGCATAGTTCAAAATTCAGAAAGTACCAAAATCTATACAATGAAAATACTCCATCACACCCCTCTATAAGCTGTCTGGTTCTTTGTCTGTAGGGTACCAGTGATGTCAGTTTCTTTTATCTCTTCCCAGATATGTTTTAAGCACATACAAGCAAACATGCATTTATTTTCCCTTTTGTGTGCCAAATGCCATTCTCTATGCACTATTTTGCTTTCTTTTTTTCTGTGTCTAAGGATCTTGTACCCTAAAGATACATATAAAGCTGCTTTATTTTTTATTTTTATTTTTTTATTTTTTTGGTACTGGAGATCAAACTTGGGACCTTGTGCCTGCAAGGCACGTGGTGGAACCACTGAGCTAAACCCCCAGCCAAAGCTGCTTTATTTTTTAAATAGTTGAGTCACTTTATAGACTTGGCATAATTTATGTAACTAGTTCCCAATTGAATGAATTGGATGTTCAGATTGTGTCTGATTTTTTTATTACTACAACTAATGCTGCAAAGAATAGCAGTACATACTGGATTTAGCAGATAAATCTTTTTTTTTTCTTTTGGTACTGGGGATCAAACTTGGGACGTTGTGCTTGCAAGGCAGGTGCCAGAACCACTGAGCTAAATCCCTGGCCCAAGGATTTAGCAGATATCTGTAGAATATAATTAGCATTGCATTCCATTACATGATTGTACGTAGTTTCCTGTTTGTTAACAGATTAGTTGTCCAGTCAGCCCTTGTGATCACCCGTTTCTGCTTTCTCCTTTGTTTTCCATCCCTGACACCAGGCACATGGCCACCCACTCAGCCCAGAAACCCCACCAGTGCATGTACTGTGATAAGATGTTTCACCGCAAGGACCATCTGCGCAACCACTTGCAGACCCACGACCCGAACAAAGAGGCCCTCCACTGTTCTGAGTGTGGTAAGAATTATAATACAAAGCTGGGCTATCGTCGCCAACTGGCTATGCATGCTGCCAGCAGCGGTGACCTCAGCTGCAAGGTGTGCCTGCAGACCTTTGAGAGTACCCAGGCCTTGCTAGAGCACCTGAAAGCCCACTCACGCCGGGTAGCAGGTGGTGCCAAGGAAAAGAAGCACCCCTGTGACCACTGTGACCGGCGGTTCTATACTCGTAAAGATGTGCGGCGGCATCTGGTGGTGCACACAGGCCGCAAGGACTTCCTGTGCCAGTACTGTGCCCAGCGGTTTGGCCGCAAGGACCACCTGACTCGTCATGTTAAGAAGAGCCACTCTCAGGAGCTGCTCAAGATCAAGACAGAGCCAGTGGACATGTTAGGCCTACTCAGCTGCAGCTCCACAGTCAGCGTGAAGGAAGAGCTGAGCCCTGTACTATGCATGGCCTCTCGGGACATGATGGGGGCCAAGGCTTTTCCTGGCATGTTGCCCATGGGCATGTATGGTACCCATATCCCTAACATGCCCACCACGGGCATGCCACACTCCCTGGTACA